AGAGGGCGCGGGGGAAGCGGTGGGAAGATGCGGTGCGGCGAAGGGTTCAGCAAAACGATGGAGATGAACGGAAGAAACAACAGAAGAGGAAGAAGTAAGGAGATGGCGAGAATAGCCAGAAGGGGAAATACGGAATGCTCCGAAGTAGAGGAAAGGCGGGGGCGAAGCGAGGTTATATCAGCGCAGGCCCGTTATTTTACTTTGCCTTTCAAATTTTTTTATTTTATTTTATTTTTTTTTTTTTTTCGCACCCGTTTCAATAATTTTCTATTCATAATCGTTTTTTGCTCAAGTTATGCTGGGCAAGTGGGTGGTTGCAGATGGTCGCAGATGGTCGCATGCAGAGAGGTTTAGGACGGATTGTGGTGGCGGATACGGTATCTCTGTATGCCATACTCGGTACTGTATTTTAAACCAGTCAAATGCAGCCTGCCCTAAGTAGCTTGGCTTCAGTCTGCATGCGATGCCGGGCAAAGGCTGGCCCAGCTGGCTCGTGGGTGGAGTGGAGGCTGTATGGTAAGGTATGGTATGGTACGCCGGATATCAGCTCTTGTATCGCCCAACCCGAGCCCGAGCGGGACTAGATGGACTCGACTAAGGAGTCACCTTGTCAGTCGACGGTGGAGGCCCGGCCAGATGAAGAGGATAGGCCACGAAAAGGAGCAGCAGACGAGATATCCTTTGCCGATGACGACTCCAGGAATCCATATCCGTAAAAGGCTTCAGTCGATATGCAGCTCTCTAAACATGCAATAATAATGCAATTCCTCCGTGGCGAGAAATTTATCTCCAATCCCTTCCTGCGCCGCTGCTGGCACTCAAGGGGCAATACAGCCTCCCCTCGACGGCACATCAGCCCACACCTTGGTGGACAATAAGTATTCGGATAGGTAGATAGGTTTTTGATGAGCTCGGGGTCCCAAGCTTTGTGGATAATCGCAATAACAATGGTTGCAGCTGCCGCGGGTTCTCTAATTGATAGACTCTAGCGGGGATCGATAGTAGTGGTCACATCTTGCTGCAGGTGAAATTACCACCATAGTTTCTGTCCTTCCAGTGGTTGGAAAAATAAATGCGGAAAATCTTTCTGCACGCTCAGATAAACCTTACCGGCGAAACTCTTGAATGTTCTACCGTTGCGGGGCGTGATGCTATTAAGCCTACGGAGTACTCGCATATCAAATGAAAAATGAAAATAAAAATTTCTAGTTTCTGTTTTTTCGCCGATTGTACTCCGTACAGAGTGTGAAGCCATCTACACTGGCTTTCATCCCGTTTCTTCTGGATCGAGTTTGTTCAAGCACTAAGGCCCGAGCATCATATCCAATGCATCCCTAGCCCGTGTTGGAAATTCAAGAAAAGAAAGGCACTTTTTGAGAACCGATGAATGCATTGAACAAGGTAAAATTCATGCAACTTCAACCCCCCCCTCCCTCTCCCAAAAGGTGTCCCAGATCAAGTCTGCATCGGGCGAGCGTCAACCCATGGATCTCGAAATCCCTGTCTTGCGCTTTGCAAGGGCGCCAGACAAGGGCAAAGAAAAGTGGTCAAGGCTTCCGTTTCGAAACATATTGACCGGCTCGTGTAGGAGAATAAGATGTTTTAGTTCAACAAATGGCAGGCGTCAGCGAGGGTATGGACCACCGTGGGACGGAGGGTCGATACTGGGCGGGAAGCGGGTTTACCAGACCTAGCCGGTGAATGGACTCCAATAAGTTCCAGTATCGAAACCTTTTCGAGGACAGGTTCAGCTGATGGTGGGTTGTGTCTTGGAAAGGTTTGGGCATCAGATTCGCCATTCCCCAATGACCCTAAATCCTGTTACTTTGACGAGATCCCTGTTCTGATCGCCGATTGGGTCGAGCCGGTCTCCACCATGATTCCAGGCTTTCTGGAAGAAAACGCCAGGCTACAGCCCGCTAAGCCCACGGACCAGGAGAGCACTGGACATAGCCCGTTCCTGGCATGCACATCATTTTCAACACATCGTCCCGGATTCTTTGTGCACAAGGATAAGCTCCTCGAGAGCTGCAGGGTATCTTTCAATAAAGCGTTGATATGGCGATGGAATGCTCCCTTGCTTTCATTATGGAGCGGTAGTTTGTGCTTTGTACGAGTCATATTTCCTTTTGTGGCCGTCCCGACATTCTGGGCTTGGTCTTGACTTCGATGTCCAGTCGCTCACCACCAACTGTAATTCTCACTCACCCAGGCACTGTTTCAGAATCAGGTGACAATGCCTTCTCCACAATCATCAGCGTTCCAACCTTGGAAGGCTGAGATGCCCCGTGATCTCCAGCGATCTCAAGGGCTCCATTCAGCGGCACAGAAGCTGTGTGTAATTATTACTAGCTAGTCCTGTGAAGTTAGGGGGTCAGCAGTGCCGTCGGCTGCAACAAGCTCTGCCATTTCCACCTGCGCTGGTCAAGCTCAAAAATGGGCTGTTTCTACTGGCCATTCGCTGTCCGATTCGAACAAGAGCTTTGTAGGGCCAAGCGACCAAATGCTGCAGCACACGCGCTGGGAGAAGCAGCTTCAACAGCATGAACAAATCTGAAGCTTATTGTCCAGCTCGCAAAGGTCGCTTTCAACCGGCTCCGTGCGGGAGCTGGAGGAAGGCTGGCGGGTCACAAAGAGACGTCATCTCAACTCTCACCGGCAGATGACACCCTGAATATTTCTTATCATGAGGCAAAGCTGGTCCTGTCATCTGTCATGTTGTTTCTGGCAAATCATGTTGATACTGATCACGCCAGACTCCCTCGGCAATACTATAATCCTGGCTGTGCTCCTAAGTCAACGCCGGGAGGAGCCTCTTTAGCCCGGGTGACATGCATAAATATTTCGAAAATTTCACGTGTATGAACCTGTTCTAAACAGTAATACTGAGTATGTAGAAGAAGCATTCTACTCTCTGGCAGCAGAGGCAAAATAAAAATGCAGCCAGCATTCCATCCGTGTGTCCCCTCTTGGCCTGCCCTGGGCCACAGTGCATACCTGTTCCCCTCAATTTTGCACCAAAATCTCCTTCCAAGAGACGCGACATTTCGCCATCCTCATCGTCGCGCGTCCGGGCGAAACCTCAACGCCCCATGACGCCATGCTGGCTCTGAACTACTTGGACATCCAAGCTGAAAAACTCAACGGACGCGGGATCGCTGTGCATTTGGACCAGTAGTTTTCCCTGGAGACAGGCGTTCTGAAACCACAGCAGTAACATCTTTTCTTTCCAGCGTCGTCCACGGATGAGAACCCTCCCCCCCAAAAAAAAAAAAAAAAAATTGATGCATGCACATTACGTGAGTCATGAATAAATCTGCAGTTTCAGCAGAGCCCGTGTTTTGTTTCATCGCCGCCCTGTCCAGCGTACTGCTTGGCCGGGCGCTATCCCCGTGCATGCAGCAAGACATCACCCAGCCCAGCTGAATCTGAGCCCCCGCCACGACGTCACCTACTGGAGAACACTATAATTTTGACAGCCCGATGATCAGGTAATTATGGGCCCGTGAGGGAGACGATTTTCAAGTTCACATTTTTATCATCCATATGTCGATTTCTTCTTGACGGGCCCACCTTCACCGCCGACCCGGAGATCACTTATTCTCTCAGCGGTGGAGGGGGTTGGGCCATCAGAGATAGACTTCAGAGCTGCTTTCGTCGAAATTCACATCTCCACCACCACCAAATCAATTGTCCTGGCGATATTGGCCATTACTTGACTTTCCATAGCATACCAGATCATCGCAATAACACCGCCCTCCCCAAGGTGAACCAACTTCTCCAATTTTCCCAGAGCTTTCACCGCCTTCTCTTAGGGCGGAATTTCCAAGGCTTGCGCTGTCGGAGAACTACCTTCGTTAGGAGCGTGTCTTTTTTGGGGGAGAGGGGGAGGGCAGTCCCGGTCCGTTCATTGTCCCAGTAGATTAAAGTAATGACGAAAATATATATCACAAGGGCACAGAAGATGAACGTGATATTCTCGCCACACTTTCATTTAATGAAATAGCCCATGAAAATGATTCCGGCATTCATGAAACCCTCATCACCAAGGGGAGAAAAGAAGATGCACAGAAATATGTAGCAGCCTACTGTAGATGTCTCTTGCAGGGCAACGTAAGGATAAGTGCTGACATAGTTTCCTGGTTAGTTTATGAAACTTACACCCGCGGACAGCGACTTTAGCAGTTTCAACAACCCATTCCCCCCTCCACCCAGCTCTTTTTTTTTTATTTTATTTTGGCGTGCTTGACGCGACCTGTGCGGCATCCGAACGAGTTTTCAATGATACACGAGAGCGCGTGACTGTCTCTTAGGCTTCTTAAGTTTCCGAGCTTGCCTTTCGCATGACGCAGACGTCATCTCATCGATGACATGTCTCCGTGAACTTTGGGGGCGAACACCAGGTCAGAATATGGAATCAATTGTTGCCTGTCTTCAAAATTGTGAGAGATGCACAAGGACCCCTTCCTACACGAATTTCCCCACGATGCTACCTACGCGTACGGTTTGTTTCAGGACTCGGGGGGTTTCACCGTTGAGTTTCAAGTTTGGTGATGTGGGTGATGGGAGAGGGACATCTTTGTCGTTTCTTTGCGATGTCCCATCCCAGCCCACGAAGAATTCTTGTTTTAAAATTCCTCCAATGCTTTCCAAGCTAGCTGCAAATATGTGGCCGGGGCTTCGAAACGGTGCGTGCGGATTCCAAGTATATCATATTTACGTGAAGGACCTGCCACCTGTTGTTATGCTTTCGCGGGGAAGCTTCTCTCTGGTTTGATGCAGGGCGACTTTCGCATAACCATTTTCTATCACTCCTTGCATTCGTATGATATGCTAGTGCGCATGCGCACGAAATAGGGGAATCAAATATTGTGCCTTTTGCAAAAGGAACCCGATATTTGTATGGCAGATAAATGTGAAAAAACCTGTGAATGAGCGGCGGGTGACTCTCTATGCAGTGGCTATGACCTTCCTTTCTTCGATGTGCAGGGCGCGGTGTAGGCTTGACACTGTAACAGACTCCTCATACATGTACTTGTTTTTGCGAAAATTTGATGGCACCATGCTATCTATGCCTTAGCTGCCTTAGGGCAACTCCTGTCTCTCTACAGGGAGATGGAGTAGCTGCGACAAATTCGGTTTTTCGGGCACGGGAGAAGAAAGAAAGGCTGAGGACATCCTAACGCAATGCATCTGGTATTTTCAGCTGATCTCATACTTATTATAACATTCGCTTGCATTTTATGTATATTTGCTCTCTCTCTCTCAACGTTTGTTCAGCCCCTATCCCCGATTTTCGCAAGTGGCAAAGGGTACCAGACGCCGAAGAGATGTGGTCAAGTAGGGTAAATCAGCCTTGCGGGGTCCGTGATCGGTTGAATTTACACAATACCGGTCCCTCTAACCATCAATGTCCTGCAGCCTGATGATTAGCACCTGCCGTGTGATCCGGATGGATGTACGGAGTAGGTTATTACATCTTCGCTCGATTGACAAAACGCGGAGAGGCAACTCTGTCGCGGGAATGGGAATTGACAGGCTGAATGCCATGGCGGAAAAAATTGAAGTGAAACTGAGGATGTTCCTTTACGTCGATATGCATGAGGAGACCAAGTGTCCCTTTCGCCCTGGACTCCGGCCGGGAGCGCCAAAAACTAGCCAGCCAGTGCAGGGAATAAGCGTAACTAGCGTCATGTCGCTTTTAGGATTGAAATCGATTTGAATCGATCTCAGCCTTCTATGGGCTTCTAAGCCAGACACTCCCGTATTTCCGATGGTGGTTAACATATCGAAAGGTTTTTTTCCTCAACTAGAATTAATTTTAGTAATTTAGGTAAAAAGGATTTCTCGATCATTATGACTATTAACTACCCATCGATTGATGAATAATGCTACAAGCAAAATTCATCGTTCGAGGTCATTGTTGCTGGTCCTTGCTCACATTGATAAAGATACACCAGAAAAGCCGAATCTCCCTCGGGAAGCGCCCTTGTTATACGAGTAAGAACAGTTGCCCTCCGCAGTTGATCAGGTCTCGATGATATATTCGCTAGTCGAGATTTGCAGCTTGCCTTAGCTTTTAGGATACTATAGAGGTTATTCAAGCTATATATCCTTTTGAAGTCAGAAATTTGACGTTGTGGGATATGGCGATGCTTCTTGGAGAGCTATGAGCTATGAATTCAACTAGACAGAGTAGGTTGAATGAATGTATGTGGAAAAAAATTCAAATCTATCTATGTTTTGTCCTGATAGATATCGACCTTGGATGTCTTGTGCCGAGTTCTGGAATGTCACACTTCCCCAGCAAGATTCCCCGCATATTTAATTCTCCTCTTTTAAACCCATAGATGAAAGTTCCTCAAAGTTTCGCTCAACGCGGAGTGGGAGGAATAAATGCGGATTGCACGCCCGATGATGATCGCCATGGGTGTGTTGTTCTTCTCGCCCAAGTTTTTCGCTCTTCCACCTGGGTAATCATACCAAATATAACCCCCGCAGTAGTTGCCGGTCCATATAGACTTAGTTGACCAAGCTCACATGAACGTTGCATCATTGGCGAGAGGATTAACTATGAGCAAATTCCCGTACTATCCCCATCTTTTTTTAGCCTTCTGGTGATATTACGAGAGCCCTTGGAGTCCGGTTTCGAACCCAGTAAATAAGATATCGGAGCGCTGCTAGGATAGTCAAAATAAGCGGTAGACAGCTCCATGGGCATGCAATCCGTGGTCCGCCGTGTCAACGACCTCCTAGACGACAAATCAACGAAGGTTACGAAGAACCTGCTCATGGCCATTGGGCTAGCTATCGCTCCTAAGTTCTTGAAAAATACTAGAAGCCTCCCCGACAACGGAAGCAAACTTTTTTCGAGTGATTTCGTTGATATGACCAAGAATTTGATCAAGAAGGCCAGCAAGGTACGTGGACCATCGCAAATGAGCACCAAGGATCATGAGCGCTGATATCTTGAAATAGTTGATATTGTAGATGTTCTGCTCGAACAGCTTGGGTCTTCAGCCTGTCGTTGACTGGAATTGACGAGTGACGAGATAAGGATGGTCACAAAACCAGGAGAGAGATCACGAAGCCCAAATACCAGTTCTGAGGTGCCCGAAAAGACCCACAACGCGGTGACAGCATCAACGAACAGCTCCAGGTAATTTGATATTTCTTGCATTTTCCTCTACAGGTTCGGGATGAGGTTGAGCGAACGGTATCTAGATAACGCATAGACCTATCGCTACCACTGTCGTACGATAATATCCATGACTAGCTTGTGCATGGCGACATATCCAATGTAGTTAGGTTATTGAGCAGATATTCAAAGAAGTGAACCTGTGTCTTGATGGATCTTAATTTTTTAAGGAAATCCATTCCCAATCCCGGAAGGTCGACCTGTCGCACATATGCATTTGGCAACCCGTCTACCCGATATTCTGCTATGACCCGTTCCCCCGACCGTCATAATGCGCCTTTCCTCCTCTAACAACATTCTTTCGTCATCTGCGGCTTCTTCAAAAATCATTAACATTCGTAAGTTCCCAGTTGGCACAAGGTCCTTTCGTAACTGGTATTGAGCTATTTCCCAACAGCCCGTAAGCAAGAGCGCCTCGAAAATAGTCCAATTTTGTAGATCGGGAAGATGAGTGGTTCAGGGATATATTCTTTGCAGCCGCCAAAAGGATGTGCCGCAAATATACGACTGCACCAAATTGGTGTATTTTGAGGATGACGTGTAAGATACCCACCTCATCCATTTCTGTATCAACAAGGTCGAGAAGAAGAGCTAAGCTTTACCCTCTCTTTCCCTCTTAATCTTCTGGAAAACCCTCCGCTCGGTCTCTCTCTCTTCTGTCTTCCGCTTCATGAGCTTGTGCAAATTTTCTCTCTTCTCCTCTGCTTCCTTCATCCGTCTTCTTATCTCCCTCGCCATTTCTTCCTGGCCCTTGACAGCAGCGACTGAAGTTGAATATTCCTTTCGCAATGACTGTAGCTGGGCGCGGTACTCGACAGCGTCAAGCGGAGTGCAGGTGATTGGGTGGTAACGATGTGCTGGTAGAGGGTCAGACGGGACGCGAATCTCTGGTAAAAGATGGTGAATTGGCGTCGTGCGTATTTCCGCATCAAGAGGGACAGGCTCTGACGAGTGGCTTGACTGTCCTTCAGGCAGCGCAGGCTCTGGGGGTGGTGATGGTGGTAGCCGGCTCATAGTCGCGACGTGATAAGGTTCGAAAAAAACCCTCCGCCCGTGATTTTGCCCGGTAGGAACACGATGCACTGCACTGGATAGCTCTGTATGTGATCTCAAGGGTTTTCTGCAGTAGATACAATAACAGAAATAGTGATTTGCCATGAATCAGCAAATAGTTCTGGCAAATTCAAAATTCAACACCAACCATGGATCCAGATAAACTAAACAGGCACGTGATGATAGATATAACCTTGACATGAACCCAGAAGGTAAAATACATTGTTTCATCCAACCCTAATGTAATAGTTAGATCAAAGCAAACATTCTCTGTTGTTTATATCTGCGGAATACTGGGGACTGCATATATACAAATCCATGTAAATTATAGGGAAGCAATCACCCGATAGATCTGCTATGTGAAATACACTACCCAAATTGGACAGGCTGCACACACCTCCACAATGCAGGCCTTTGGTGAGCTATTTCAATTTCTCCTTGTCCTGCACAACAATGAGCCAAGATGAAACCCTGGGAATACATGGTGTACTCGGCCAAAACGCTAACCGGCACTCTCACAGTCCCCAAAAACAGGCGGGTAATGATATCTCTCCTCCCCTTGAACTAATGACCACACGCTCACCTCAGTTTAACCACCCTGCAGCCTAAGTTCGAATTTAAATTGCGGGTATGCTTTGATATCCTTATCACCCCGCTATACATGGACTAGAATAACTTATTTATCAAGATAATTGACTTGAATAACATCCCGCTTGTTGTTGGGTTGGCTTACGCGAAATGGCACCTCCCTTCGTCTACTTCAGCTGAGCATCGTGGACAGACAGATAAAGCCGTCATCCAGGACCACCGAGCTTCATGGGACTACGAGAAAGTTCTTCCCGTCAGACTTACTGTGGACCGAAATCAGATGCTCCAGGAATGCGAAATCCATTTCGAGATTTTTCAAGAGTTTAACACCGGTGGTCGCGGGGATAAGCATCTTCTAGGAAATGTTCGACTGAATCTTGCGGAGTACGTAGAGAAGAATGAGGATGGCGAAGGAGTCACTAGGCGGTATTTGATGCAGGACAGCAAAATCAACGGCACCTTGAAGGTTGGGATTGTGATGCATCAGGTCGAGGGAGATACCAACTTTATCACGTAAGTGTCTAACAAGTTTTGGAAAACACCTATTCGACAATATCGCCGAATTGACTCTTTATAGACCCCCTCTCAAAACTGCCATGGTATTTGGTGGGATTGGAGGTTTTATATCCGCGGAACAGGGCGACTTGCAAAACTCGTCCAGTATTCCCTCTATTAATAGCTGGAGCCGAGAAGCTGGCGACCTGCAGGACATGTACCGCCGTTCACTAGCTGCCTCTTGGGCGTGTCGAGCTGGCGAACTCTCTCCTGATCGTTTGATCGAAGATATTTTCGCGGGAGGTGACGGCTGGGAAACAGGTGGCCCCAGTTTAAGGCTAGACGATGATAATGAAGACAGGAGGTCCTTTAGTGATGCCGACTCCCGACGGACAATTCGTGACGGCACGGATGATGGGAGGTCTAAATTATCCTATGGAAGGCATCAAAGAGGCCTCAGTAAAAATAAAGAAAACCTGGAACATTCCGGATATGGGATCCGAGAAAGAACGGGGAGAACCAGGGAAGTTTCTGAGTTCGACCTTCGTGAAGATCTGAGGAGCTGGGAGATTTTTTCCCCTCAGTGATTTATCTCTTCAGCATCCCCCGGAATATGTCTTTTATGGCAGGAATGTGTATGAGTGGACAATATTGATGGGTCTGGGCCAAGTGCCGAACGGGTCTCTAAAGCTCTTCCCATGTGAATTTATAATATAGTACTAAAGGCACGAATGACCTTCATGAACAGCGCGTTCTTGATATGTTGCTGACCTTGATATATAGGTCACTAACCAGCACCACTTTTGTGGCCTGAATATGGTCTACAACACCTTACTTTTACAGTCTGGACTTTCATATACTGAGTTTGGACCTCGAACAAGTGGTAATTCATGTCAAGATTTAACAACTTCTGGCACGATCTCCACGAATTGGGTCGTTGTAAATGTTCATCATGAGTTATCTGACTTCGCGTCGCCCTTTTGCTTGATTTGAAATATTCCTAATCCAGACCAACCTACATACTAGTTTCTCAGTCACATTTAGCAAATCGGTGTATTTTCATAATTACTAGTGCTTGCTCAGTCTTGAGGTGTTTGTATTAGTTTTATTTTAATGATACTGATATGCACATCCCAACGCAAGGTAAAATTTATATGGTATGTCCGTTTACATACACTATGCATAACGTCTCCCTTAGTATTCATCAACACAAAGTTATTGTTGGCGCTACTGGCCTTGAGGTAATCGCCAAAATCACGTGATATTTATTCATCTCGATAAAAAAAGTTTATAGCTTCCATCCGATGGAAGCGTGCCAACTTTTCAGGATGACGTGAACGGAAACACAGGGCCATTCGTCCTATCGTCCCCTCATTACAGATGTTTAAGGCGTCACAAAATGCGGCGGCCTGTCTTCGATGCCAATTTTGTACTCCCCTTTCTCCAAAAGCCCTGACAACTTGCCTCCTCTCCCGCGTATTTGACCTCCGCCAAAACCGATATCATAGCACAACACCCCCGAGTCAACCTGGCGAAAAGCACCCTAAACTATACCCGGTATTGGGTGTCAAAAAGTCGCGCTACCAAAGACATGTTGCGCGTTTGGATGTGCAGACGCTGGGGGAGGTCGGTGAGGTGGTGATACTCAAGGAGAGAGCGAGTCGGCCAAATCAAATGACCGCTCGCAAATTTTCAAGGATACTAGAGAAGGAGACCGATGGCGACGCTCCTTGGGACAATCCGTCTGAGCTCCTGAAAGAGGTAGATAAGTCAAGATTACAATTGGGAGATGCCAAGGAGGTGATCGAAAATATTAACAAGATCCGTGGGAATCACGAGCCTGGAGACAAGCTGGACCGGAATGAATGGCGTAAACTTCGGACGATATTAGAAAACGGGTTTACGGCTAATCAGCTAACCGATTACCACAAACAATTCGAACCACCTTTGAGTTCCTCTGACCAAAACGACGGCTTGACGGGACTTCATTCAGGATGGAGGCCCGGAACGTCACTTTTTCTGGAAATGGACCCTGAAGCCCAAAAACAAACGGCATCCAGGATCGGGAGTCTTGGGAATATGGCCGGCAAGATTGCATTAGCAGAAATGGTATTGCGAGATTGCTGGCAGCTATCTGTTTCGGGTGAGATCGGTCAATTGGACATACATCTGGCCCCCCATGAGATTTTCATGCTTCTATTGCCCGATATCAGTCCTCTCAAAGACCTTGCAATCACCTATGCCGCAAAAATAGATGTTTCACGATCTTTAAATCTTGTGAGAATCACCGCAAATGAAAGCGCCTGCGAACTTGTTCGACAGGGTGTTGTGGGGTTTTTTCCACGGATAATGTCCAGAACAGTAGACCTCCCCACCAGAGGTTTCGTATTCCATGGAAAGAATAGAAGATTTGAGGAGCGATTTTTCCGCTCCATGCAAAAGTCGCTCAATGTATTTTGCTGTAAAGACCAAGGAACAAAGCAGATAAAGATATATTTCGTTTCGGAGATGGAGAAAGAGGCGGACGAGGCGTACCGGAATATTAAAGCCGCAATATCAATGACGGAAGAGGACCAAACCCGCTTTTGCACATATTTTCCAGACACTGAATCGGCGGTTTTGTACTCCGTTTCCTACCAGGAGTTTTTGCCATGGGCTGACCGCCAGAGAGGATGGCTGAGATGGATGAAGCCGCTTTCCGAGGCAAAAACTCCCAGTGGAACTCAATCGGAACCACCACCAGCTCTCATCCGGAAAAGTCGTGGATCTGCTTTCGAGAAAGTATGCAATAGCCTTTTTAAACTGCCAGCTTCACCCACTTGGCGCAGCCCTGGCCAACCTCACATTCGCGAGGTCATTGTTGCTTCCCTTGGAAAATCACTGTTTGCGCACCAACAATCAATGAAACCCGGAAAAATGAAGTTTAAATCCTTCAGTTCTACAACCCCTCGCGCTTTTTGCCCACGAAATATCTCCAATCCGGTGTCCTTCCTCCAAGGGCCTTCCCTCTCTACCCAATGTGGGAAACAGTAACTTTCACCCGAATTCGCCTAACACCTTCAGCTGATAACAAGATCCGCCTTCCACCTATAGAATTAGAGCTCGACATCGTGCCACAGTTCATTCGTGGGCGTCAATCCCTTTTACCAATTCTACGAAAAGCTGCTGCCGTTGTCCATAGGGTGAGTATGGACGTATTACTTCCCGAGACGTCACTAGACCTCCGTTTTAAGAAATTCACACACTATGACCTCCTTCAAGGCCGTAAGCTATCTACCTTATCGCAATCCGAGAAGCAAAGGGCCGATATCTCCAGCATTTCTGAAGTCATTGGAAATCTGGTCTGGGAAGATGCATACAAACAACCGCGTATACCCATTTCTTGTGAACTGACCATCCCACGCAAGTTGGTCATTCAACAATCCTCCGCCGCAACAATAGCAGATTCGCAAGGAATCGGGGAAGGAGAAACAGACTTCGTAACGGGAACATACATGCTTCCTCCTATCCGTTACCTCAGATCGGCTCAAATATCGCGCTTCAACTACAAGGACCTAGAGCTCTGCTACTCACACGTTCACATGGGCCCTGCGCTGCCAGAACACATGATTGACATGTCGATTTCTCTAGGTCGGGATGATAACGAACTTCGCCCGACGCTGTGCCAACCAAACACCCACCTTTCATCCGCTGTTGCGAAGGATAAGTCTAAGGGGTCACTTCAGGCTGCGTTCAAACTATTTTACACCCGCGCTTGCGAGATGGCGTTTGAGCAGAGTGCGGCTGCGGCGAATTATAAGAAGCGGGTTGCAGCCGGGGATGAGTTGGCAGACGTGACCACTTCCGTTGGAGGGGATTACAGACCATACGTCAACCTTGATCCGGAGGACCGATTTAATGAATGGATGGAAAATGGTTCAGAAGGGGAGTCTGAGGACAGGTTTAATCGCAAGGTTCGGAATGGTTCGGAGTAAACCCGGCGTGATGCTGGAGCGCTTTTCAATATCTCATTTCTCCCTTGTGGAGGTACATTTTTATTCTTTTTACCTAGCCTACGAAAGACCACATTGCATTTTCCTAATTTTGCTTGTTCTTTATTTTCGTTGTGTGCTCCTTGTGGTCCTTGGTTATTTAGGCTTAGTGGGTCGCCGGAGCTGTTTAGGCTGCGAATTGTACTGTACACGTACAAAAGGAGGAATTAGCTTTGCGGTTTCGCAAAGGGCGATAGGAATTATAGCCCCATTTCTAAATATTGCTTGTTACTACTCCTATTCTTATTCATATTCCTGTTTAGGTTCTCCTTGGCTATATACAAGTAGGCTTTATGATACCTCATCTGCAGTTATAATACAAAATAAATAAATAAACCTCATATCTCAATAAGGCAGTCCCACATTCTATGTTTTCTGAAATAGGTCTCAAAACAAAACCCAGTTATAGTAGATGGAACTGTCAAAGAACACAAAGAATAGATAGAAGATACATGGCACTTCCTAATCCTCTCAACCATATATCTTCTCTATTCCCACCGGACACCTCCACTAGGGCCATCGCCTATGGCAAAGATAGGATTTGAATCTATGGACGCTCGGTATAGCCTCTTGTGTCCCGAGAGTAATGATTCCGATCATTCAGTGCTTCCTCGCGCAAGGTCTGCTATAGGTAATGCGATATGAAAACCTCCTTCAAGTTGCTTTGGACATGACACGATCAAGTTGAGCGAGAAGGATGGAAAAGACCTCCGTTAATTACTAAAACCTCACTAAACCGCTGCAATATGGAAAATATACGCCGCGGCAAACCATCGTTTGGAGAGGCCGGTCAACCTTCCAAAACCCGATTGACAGCATCCATGCGGTCGGATAAACTCGATCAAGATCAACCCATCACGCTAAACGTTAGAGACTCGCACCGTGGAGCTATGGTCTTAGCAGAGGGTTGGGAGTTCCTCTCCCATCAAGACCAAAAATTTCCGAAGACGCCAGGGAGTGTCTCGCAACAGCGCGAATGAAAAAAAAAAAAAAAAACGTCCGACGCGTACTATTAAATACTTAGACTGATCGGTTCACTCCGCCCATAGCATAACCCAAAAGCCCGCCATATGCTAACGCCGGGTTTACCCAATGAATGGGTTTACCAAAAACTCCTCCTGGCCTAAGATTTCGTAGTATGTACCGGCTCTAATTGCGCGATCCGTATGATGTCAAGTAGATGCTCAAGCGACACACTTTTTTTTCGCAGGAATAACGTCACCCCTCCGGGCACCGGCAGCATTTTATACGGCACGCTGCGTAGAGTGCTTTGACAGCGTCGAAGGACGTGCTTACATACACTACTAAGTTCCAGAAGCCCTGCAGTGAAAGAACAACTGCAGCCAAAAGACTCAAACCAAACATTGGTTTGTCCGGACTAGAAATGTAATGGATGCGGTTGATAGTGGACGGGGTCTTAAGGACGGTAATTCTCCTATGTCAGCATTCCATCCAAAAAAAATTGAGGGGATGAAACTATGACAGTTGCCCAAAAAAAAAAAAAAAAAAAAAAAAAACCAAGGGGAGATGAATTTAGGTTGGTTTGTAACGAACCCAAGTCAGGAGTAATGAAAGGAAAAACAATGAGACTCGTTTCATGTACAAGAAGGTTGCTTGATGTCTTTCAACGGTTTGGGGACTTGGTAAGAGGGAGTGGCTGGTGCTCCGACTTCGGTTGTGGTTAAAATCTGAAGTAGGGTTTCGTTTCAAAGACACACCGTATGTCCTTAAAGGGATGTTCGTGGGCAAACTGCTGTTTCGTGAGTTAGGATTTTCGAGGTCTTCAATCCCGATATCGTTTGCTTCAAAGTCGATAGTTCCATTTTCTACTGGTGTTGCATGTTGTTGCATGTTTTCTCTCGACTCATCTTGAGGTTGTTCGTGATTAATGCCAAGTCCCGCACTATCTGGTATCCTGTTTGGTGTTTCACTAGTCATTGCCAGATTTATCCTGGAGGATCCCCTTTCGCTGTCAATAATACCTCCTTCTCTAAAATGTTGTGCGTTTTCAGAAGATGATGGGAATCCAGAAGTCGCAGGATTTCCATGCTCATTGTTCAGCGCCTCGGCAGCTACGTTTGGTGATTGAAGGGACCTCGGCACAATAACAGCTGCCTCACAGGGACAACGCTGGTGACCTTTGTCTGGGATATCATCGACATTATCCATAGAGAGTTCCATGATCTTCTTTCGCTTTGCATTGATATCAATACCCTGATACAGAAGGATCGAAATCGTGATAATCACTGTGAGCCAGACTGGCCCATAAAAGAAAGCCAAGCGAATAGATTGCCACTGTGGTCTAATCCAGCACCATAACTGCAAAATAAATCAGTCAATCATCGGGGAACAACAGCACAAGACCAGCCACGCGCTTTACTCACAGCAGTATTTCCATATATATGACCATGTTCATTCGTATTTACGAATAGAAAGGCAAATGCGGGCAAGAACGGGAGTACATAACACAAGATCAAATACCGCCATTCTAGCTCTTTTAGTTCAGCCGGCCTGTATCTGTGGGATGATGTTAGGTAGACATTAATGGACATGCAAAAGATCCAGAAAGCATTTGTTGGCAGGAACCTAATCTCACGCAATGTCAGTGTAAGCTCATATCCCTTCTTTTATCAACTGGAGACTCAAAAATGGAAAAGGTTTGGAAACACACCATTGCACAAGAAATGCCTGGCAAATACAGAGGCTACTATTGGGACCTCGACTGATCCCATCCCCCCCAATCATGGTAGCAACATTCGCAAGGACATTACCCCACGTAGCATAGAACATGAGTCTGTTAACCGGTGTTTGAAATAGCCTATTCCACAGAAAACTGGTAATGACAAAGAATGAGGAAGTGATGGAGAGAGCAGACGCTGCCCGAGCACTTGTATAAATGGTATGGATCTGGCTGGGTGACAGCATCACACTCAGCATGTGTTCTTCTGCACGCATGACTTGCGATCATCGAGACGCCCGATATCATTTTGCAAGGGTTTTTTTTCGATTGAGTGGAGAAACTTCAACTGTCTTGTCTTTTCAACAACCAGGACGCCACCGTCGCTATCTGGTTTGAGCCATGAAACGGCGAGGTTTGGCTCGATAGAACTTTATCATAGCATGTGGAGAGCGGGCGGTTAACGCTGAGATGACCTTTTCGGCAAACCCTACCGTGGTAACGCGATCAAGGCGGCAAACCATTTTTATTTCTGCTCTCTCCACGTCTCTGGTATTCTATGTGGCTGTGCGTTGAGTTGGGGCTACAAGGTTCAAATGCTGTCAGTAAGGATGTCCATTTTGGAACTTTTTGCCGCCAGCCAGAAAGTGCGCTGATCCGAGGTTGCTAACTTGTTCGAACTCAGAAACTCATACATGCCCAGATGCACCAAGAATATCCTCTTTCAACCAAACTGACTTTGTTGAACAAACTAAGTTGGTTAGCTATCATGAGCAATGATCAGTAAGCGCCGTTGGAGGCTTGCCAAGGGGTCAGGTGATGATCTCCCGGCGCCTAACGGTTCTTGGTCTCGGCCAGGAATCTGGGGACTGGCGTAACTGGCCTGTTCGCACTCAACACCCTCAAATTTCAAACCTTTCCCCAGGCATCAGTCGGCAGGTAGACCAACATCCCCGCCAATAAGGCTCTGTTCTAGGCAGTGTGGGTGCGGTGGTCGCCCGTGGGAATTCGAGCACGAGGGCAGCTAACGGTTCCAGCTTTCGGCTCGAAGAAGGATGCTACCACATAAATTAACCCCGAACAACACGCCACTCGTTTAAGAATCGATAACTTGTACGAGCGGAATTGGCAGAAACCCATGGCTATAAAGCCGGAAGAATCATCTGGACGTTAAAAGCCCGCCCTCGCTAAATTACCCGCTTTACACCCGATGTCGCTGTTGATCAGAGCTCCAACTCTTCTTTCTGCTTTACATGGTACTTCAAATGCCGATCTTGTCTTCCGTTTCAAACATGCTTTTCTAATTATTATGCTTATGACATGCAGCCACGACTTATTAGGTGAAGGTATATATATAGTAAAGGGGGCTTGAGGATAGGATGGCTATAGTTCTAAAATAATGGACCATATTTAAGGATGGAGAACACCCGTCAATTGAAATTTTAGTTGTTGTTTTTCATCAATAAGGAGAAGACGAAAAACATGTTCGCCAGGACTGGATGACAGGGACATGTCCTATTTTTGCTTTAACTCCCTTGGTTGTCTTGAAGCCCTAAGTTGGATTGATGAGCTTTGGCCTTCCTTCCATACCTTGGTTAAGTTCCACCCCCGTCGCTTCTTCACTCGTATTACCATCTCTACACATCGGTCACTTTCAGCCATTATCACCCTATCAAGCAATGACCCAGTAAATAAGCATATCCAAGGAGAGTAAGAAAAAGAAAAGAAAAAGAAAAAGTATTCCAAAGCGAGAAGTTGGAAGTCAGGCATCAAGGCTGGGCGAGGCCAATTCTACCTTTTAACTTAACATGGGATCCCGCCCTCGGTCAAGGACTTGATACATAAGGCTTATCTCACATGTCGCCCACCTTAAGTATTGATCCTTGATGCAGTGATAAAAATCCCACATGCCATTGTTTCAAGTTTCATACTTCAACAAGAGACGGGAGTGATATGTTGTGCTGTGCAAAATATTAGCAACCTATGCCTTTGTGCAGCAGGCAACCTCTCAACAAATAGAAGATCACCTTTATCCTCGCCATGCTATAATGATATACGATTCCTCATAAACTATGAGTTTAATTACAAGAAAACTAAAACCATATTAGAATCTTTGCTTGATTACGCATCCCGCACTATATCTAAGCTTAACCGAGTCAGTAAGATCAATCCTAGTTAACTAAAACCCAAATGCGGAGATCAAGGAGGCGGAAACGATGATCCAGGTAATACCAGAGCCTTGGGAGGGTTTTGCTAAGGACAACATGCCAAGCCGGGAATACTTGCTATCTTACTCCTGTAACGGGTATGTCCCGCGCTTCTGCAAGGGACGCTATGTGACGTTAAGCGGCCTGCCTTTCGCAGAAGGAGAATAGGGAATGGCGCAACCGCAGCAGAGATATGGCAGGGGGCCAGATCCCTCATGAGCACACACCAGCATGGAGATCAGATATAGAGGCCACTTCAGATAGAATGCGCTGTGGCGAAGAAGTCATAGCCCGAAAGCAGGTGACCGTGTACGCACAAATTCCGAATCCTTCTCACCTAGGGACCGTAACTTTGATAAGTTGATTGCCTTTTCAACTCTGCGCTCTAAGCTACTAACAAGTCCAGAGAGGAAGCGCTGGCAGAATATCTACTACTATTTTCTCGCGATCTGGTGCCAGTGGAAGGCCTACTAGCATCGATCCCACTCCTGGGAATCGAACATCAAGGCCATGGTCGATGGAGTGATAAGGGCATCTCTGAACTTTCATTGTCATTTCGCAACTCACATTTGACATCTTCTTTTATTTCTTCTATGCCCCTCCACTTTCAGAGCTGGAGGGCTACATGGTAGAAAAGGTTTGCGGCTCAAGATGCGGGGTCAAGTTTAAATTAGAAGTGCGATGTCGGCCAGTTAGTTAGTTAACTAAATAAAACGCAATGTTAAAGTTTGATGTCAAGGTCGATCCGTAAACCCCACCATCACATCTAAAATCCACCCCCATCCCACATAAGGGGGTTGATTGAAAAATAAAATGCCAGGGATAATAAGCCCCTCTTAAAAACGAAATATAAAATAGAACTAAGAATGAAGTATATAAATGAAGTGAGAGGCGAGGGGTCATGATTTATTTTATTGGAACTCTGCACTTCGACTCTATTTAAAACTATAAATACTATCCGAATAGAACTGAGAAGGCGGTGCTTTTCTGGCCCATCTAAAAACACGGTACCAATGCTGCTTCATCGATACGTAGGGCCTGGCTAGGTGGGCTAGTAGTTACGAGGGGTAAAGATTAAAGTTCACAAAGGACTGGGAAATATTAAGAAACAACCATGTCAGTCAAATAGATTCGATCAGACATGGCTAAAATGTTTTAACAAATGCCCGAAATTCGGGTTGCTTGCAATAAATGCTCATTGTCTGTAACATCTAATCAACATGTCTCTGGAATTGGCCTTTTTAAGAAGACCTTGAGAGCTATAACATATGTATACCCCGATGGGCACACCCTGTTGTAGTTCAATGTCAAAGTTTAAACGTAGGACAATGTCACCTTACCAGGTTTTAAAATCTTTGTTTTGTTCTAGTTCTTCTTGACATCGGGGCTCGTGACACATTCTTCGGTCAATGGTCTGGAAGCTGTATTTTCCAAGCTGCCCTATCATCGAAAGTCCTGAAAACAAAGACTTCCCCTGCTTTTCATCGAGATATCATGGACCGTTAGAGGAGAATGGAATGCCAAACTGAACACGGATCACAGAGAAAACTCGTCGAGTACTAGAATTCACTGACAGTTGGGAACAAGAAATTGACCGGATCAAACAGTATTCCAACATGGGAGAGTTCGACATTGATTCGAATGGCTAACCCACAAATGGTGCGCTCATCAAAAGTGCATCTTGCGTTCCTTGGCCATTACAATGCACAGAACATGTCCATGCGTTTTTGCGCAGCTGCTTCTACCAACGGACCTCGAATTTGATGGCATCTTGCCTTTCGCATCCACATTTTATGCCTTACCCCAACATTCTACAGGGCCAAGACCAATGTCTGATACTCAGATATCCAGATGACCATAGAGATTTAGAAGAGGCACAAAGGTCAGAGAGAACGAGCAAAAGGTCTCTCAAATCTGTACTGTTTATATCGTCCAAGCAAGGCACCAACTTCATGATTTTCCCCTCGATTTACAGCAGGAACATCATATGTCCGCGGCCATATGTCAGTTCATGGGAAGCCGAGGACATCGCAGCGTTAGGAGTCCCTCGCGAAGATTCAACAGTGAGTGGAGTTACCGCACCCTTTCCCATCACCAGCTGCAAGGTTTAATTCATCCATGCTAATCGTTCAAAACCCCAGACGCTGAGCCTGTTTAGGAGTCGAAGGTTCGACCCCGTAGAAAATTCGCAGACGACGAATTAAAGCGAGATACATTTTGCCAATACCAGGACTTAGGTTGGATTTTACCCCGGTTGGATCCAGATGCAGGAGCAACAGTGTTAATCTGCAAGCAGTGAGGATATTGGCTGATAAGGAGGGAGAAGGAGATTTTCGCCGACAAGGCGGCAACACGGACGAAAGAACGAAGGTTGGGTTTCAGGATATCATGGATAAGGAACCAGAGCCTGAATCATCAAGAGGGCTTCGGGCCAACCAGCATCCTTTTTTTCTTGCCATTTTCCTCCATATGAATAGTGTAGGACGATACCCGCCAGCCCATGAATCAATACTTTTTTATTGCCAATATATTTAACACAGCTTTTCACTGCGTAAAATTAGGTAATGATGTATGTTGTTTTTCCAGGCCGGTGGTGGTATGCAGCAATTTGCTGGTGGCCCGAAAAGTTTATTTATATGCAATCAAATGTCTGACGTAGGAGGGGTGACGCTAGAAAGAACCACCAACTCAACCTCAAAAGAGCTCTAAAGAATAAAACTTCACCACTACGAGATCCGACACACTGTCCACAGAGAGAGGCGATAATTTGTCTAGCAGCCTCCCCGAGGTCCTTCTGAGTTCCCTTTTGAGTTCCTTTTTTTTTGTAATTTTGCTGTCCACTTCATGACCTTCCACGAACTGCTACGATCTGGATAAAAACCGATAGGAGCAAGCCCGTCTTCATCATGCCACTCCTTTAAAATTCACCGCGCGGATTTACATAGACTTTTCAAGATGGAACGTACGAGGATCGCAAAGGTAGGGGTGGACAGTTGCTTCGAAGCCCGTCGAAAGCTCGCAGATAGCGCTGACATTCCGATTTTGCCTGTCCTTGAAGGTGGATAATGTGACACTTCTGAGGCGGGGGGAACAAGTCCTCGGCACCCTGCATCTAACACCTCACCACCTCATATTTTCGCATACCCCGCCAGCAACGGCTACAAGTGCAGACCAACAGCAGGGTGATAATACGATCCCGAAACCTAAAGAGCTCTGGATCACATATCCGATCATTTCCTTCTGCACGTTCAGACCGGCAGCCGCATCCTCGAGGCAACCCTCCTCGATACGCCTCCGATGCCGAGATTTCACATTTGTCTGCTTCTCCTTCCCCAACGAGTCTAGAGCGAGGGATGCATACGAGAGTATAAAGTCATGGACATGTAGGCTTGGTAGGATCGAGAAGCTCTATGCGTTCACCTATCAACCCCCACCTCCGGAGCGGGGTTTCAACGGATGGAATATCTACAATCCACGGGAGGAATGGCTGCGCTTGGGTGTTGGAAAGCCAGATTCAAAATGTGGCTGGAGAATATCCACTATCAATCAGGACTATTCGGTAACACTAAATCCTGATTCTTCTCTATAGGATTAGACAAACTGACATCTGGTGTGCAGTTCTCACCCACCTATCCTTCCCTTCTCCCGGTTCCTTCGATGATGTCGGATAATACGCTCAACTATGCTGGGAGATATAGGTCTAGGGCTCGGATACCTGTCCTTACTTATCTCCATCCTGTCAACAGTTGTTCCATTACTAGATCCTCTCAACCGCTGGTGGGTGTTCGTGGGAAGAGAAGTATACAAGATGAGAAACTTCTAGCAGCTATTTTTTCGACATCCCGTCCCGAGAGACCTCTTGCGAACTATACGCCTCCCTCATCCTTGGAGGCTGAATCACTAAATTCCAGCCAGGAAGAACAGCCAAGTGTTCCGGCTGATTTTGAATTATCCAATGCTGAGGAGCTTGAAGACGAGGTGATTTCTGCAGCAAGGGAGGAAGGTGCCGCAAGCCAGCCCCAAATTTATGGAGCGCAGCAGCACAATCTTATCGTCGATGCGCGTCCAACCGTGAACGCATTCGCGATGCAGGCTGTCGGTCTAGGGTCCGAAAATATGGACAATTACAAGTTCGCGACCAAGGTTTACCTGGGGATCGATAATATTCACGTTATGAGGGACTCACTGAATCGTGTTATTGATGCGCTCAAAGAATCTGATGTAACGTCATTCGGGCCAAGCCGAGATCAACTTGCGAGGAGTGGATGGCTTAAACATATCAGTGGGATACTCGACGGAACGGCTTTAATTGCGCGACAAGTCGGCTTGCAGCATTCTCACGTGCTCATACACTGCTCGGATGGATGGGATAGGACTTCCCAGTTGAGTGCATTAAGCCAGTTATGCCTTGATCCATATTATAGAACGATGGAAGGATTCATGGTTTTAGTTGAAAAGGATTGGCTTTCTTTTGGTCACATGTTTCGCCATAGATCTGGGTTCTTAAATAGCGAGAAATGGTTCCAAATCGAAAATGACTTCCTGGGCGGAGATGCTAATCGCACTGGTTTTGGCGATGCCGGTGGTGCGGGAAAAGCGCTCGAAAATGCCCTCCTCAGCGCCAAGGGCTTCTTTAACAGAGATAATATGAGCCGGGACTCCCTAGGTGATTCAGACGCGGAGGCGTTGGATTTGGATAGCTCTAAAAGACCAACTTCGCGGATATCTACCCAGTCAAATGGTGTAGAGGTGACAAAGGTCAAGGAAACCAGCCCTGTTTTCCACCAGTTCCTTGATGCAACCTATCAATTGCTATATCAGTATCCTACACGCTTTGAATTCAACGAACGCTTTCTTCGCCGACTTCTGTATCATCTCTACTCATGCCAATATGGGACGTTCCTCTTCAACAGCGAAAAGGAGCGCGTGGAAGCGAAAGCCAAGGAAAGGACAAGAAGCGTGTGGGACTATTTTCTTGCTAGGCGAGAACAGTTCATAAACCCACAATATGACCCCGTTATAGATGATAATAAGAGAGGTCGGGAACGCCTGCTTTTCCCTCGGCCTGGTGAAACGAGGTGGTGGAGTGAGGCCTTTGGCCGCAGCGATGCAGAAATGAATACCCCGCGCAGCGGTGGCATACCTCTGGATAAGGATTATCCCTCTGGTTCGAGGACACCTGTACTAACTGGGGTTGAGACTTCCGAACGCTCTTTCGGTAGCTATGCATCTGTGCAATCAACATCCACTAATACTAGCAGTATGTCATCAGCGGGGATGGCAGCACTTGCTGTGGGCCTATCGGGTTTAAGCCTACCTACTGGTCGAGAGAGCAGCCAGGGAAGACGAACTGAGGAGATGGAGAATAAGGAGATGGAGGTTGAGATGCAGTAGATTAGATGGGGCACTATTCATGTCGTGCCTCCTGCTCTCCCCTTTTGCTTTGCCTTTGCTCTTGGGATTTTTGGACAGTGGCGTTTAGTCTACATACATCATCTCATATACAAAGGGTTCTCTACTGGCCTCGAATGGAACACGAGACCTTGTAAGGAATAGCATTTTTATTCGTTTTTATTATTCAGTAACAAAAATTAGAAGGGGTATTTATATCTGGGTAATTCTTGTTCCAGGCACTAAATTAAAACGGGCCTAGCGGCACCAGCGGTTATCCCAAAGCGGAATCAGGGTAAACCCCAAGCCCTACTTCGATATATCCCCCACTAAAACCTAAATGCAAGCGAATTCTACCTCACTGCGAAGAACGAGAAGAAGCAGCACTACCAGCTGTCGCCGTCACCAACGAAGCGCTTTTCCCCCACGAATCCTTAGTCCCTGCCGGTCCTTGTTTCTTTTTGTCAATACTATAAAACAAACAAAAGTTACAAATTACAATCATGGCTGCCGTCCAAGGAGCGATCTCGAAGCGCCGCAAGTTCGTGGCTGACGGTGTTTTCTACGCTGAGTTGAACGAATTCTTCCAGCGCGAATTGGCTGAGGAGGGATACTCTGGTGTTGAGGTCCGGGTTACTCCCACGGTTACTGATATCAGTACGTCTCACTACACTTTCTATGTTTTTTTGTTTAAATTGTGAGATGGAGAAGGGCAAAAAATCCGAAGAGGCTACCCCGGTTTATGTTATTATCGGGTCCACGCAATCATATATGGGAAAAGAAATTTCTTTTTTTAAATCTATATTGCATTGCATTGGGCATGCTGCAAAAAGGAATGCTGATAAAAAAGTGGGAATGACACAATGAGAACTATGCTGGAACGGCCACTGAAGAGGGCCATATAAACTTCCACATCTATCGAGACTAGACGATACACTAACCATCTCACTCTTCTCGTTTATAATAGTCATCCGTGCCACCCACACCCAAGAAGTTCTGGGTGAACAGGGCCGCCGCATCCGCGAACTCACGTCCCTCATCCAGAAGCGCTTTAAGTTCCCCGAAAACTCCGTCTCGCTCTACGCCGCCAAAGTCCAGAACCGAGGTCTCTCTGCTGTTGCTCAGTGCGAGAGCTTACGATACAAGCTTCTTAACGGCCTTGCTGTTCGAAGAGCATGCTATGGTGTTCTTAGATTTATCATGGAGAGCGGTGCGAAGGGTTGCGAGGTTGTTGTGTCTGGAAAACTCAGAGCTGCCCGTGCCAAGAGCATGAAGTTCACTGTATGTTCTATTTACCTTTGATTCTGAAGCACCACGATTGTTCCTCATGGTTGGAATACTTGAAGAGTTGGAGGTTTTCCATCGAATCAACAACACCTATCACACATCCTGTCACTCCAAAACATCAATCACAAGAAAAGAATTCCCGTTCAACCACAACCCTCAACAACTAAAACCCATCAACATCAACATCAACTAACCCACACAATCCCGGGACGGGCTTTCATGAATTCACTTCCGGCCAACCCGGTTCGCGAACTTCATCGACAGTGTCACCCGGCCACGTTCCTTCCTCCGCCAAAGGTGTGCTTGGCATAAAGTCAAAATCATGCGCGGCAGCGATCCCTGAAGGGGAAGTCGGGTCCCCAGAAATCCTTCCAGATTCCGTCACCATCATCGAGCCCAAGGAGGAACAGCCTGTCTTACAACCGCTCAGCCAGGACTATGGCGCCAAGGCTCTTGCGGCTCAGCAGTTGGCCGAGCAGCAGCGATTGGCCCCACAACAAGAGGCGGAGGCTGCGGGCCAGGCTGCTGGTGGTACGGAAGGTGCAGTGGAGGGGGCTCAGGAGTGATTTTTTGCTAGTTAATGATGAATGGAGCTCTGTTTTTTAATGTTTTAATTTTTTAATTTTTTTTCCCTCAAAAGGTCATGTGTTGATCTTGTTTGGCGTAAAATAAAGACAACGTTATTTTCCTTCTTCCCTTTTGTTCAATTAAGTTTCCCATTTCTTTCTTTTCTATCTGATGATTCTGTTGAGGTACAGTACATGGAGAACTCCTTTTTTCCTTCAAAGCATCTAAGCATGTATGTGGTGGATGTGCGACCTCCCTGCGACAACTTGATTGCAAATAAAATGAGAGAGAATCGGAAAAAAAAGTAGGTGGGTCAAAAAGTACACGCGAAATCTTTTGTGATAGATGTATTTTTCCTACCTTGGTGTGTAGAGGAGCATGAGTGCTTGGCATATTACGCCTACAGCTAAATCAACGCCCATATTTGTGACACCAAGGAAACCAATCTAAAGAAATGGTTTTAACAAGCCTAATAATGCATTCATTCATCTCCATTCCTTCGTCCCAGCTCTAACTATACCTGTGCAATGCGACTTAATAATTTTGAATGATGCCAGACGCCCAGTGTTTCTTTTCCCTTCTCCAAAATCATCATTCATACCAACAAACAAATCCATGGCACATCAAGAAAAGTGATTTATTGAGTGATAAACTTTGCCGGCTCCGACGAACTCTAACCCGGCTCAATCACATTTGAATTTCTCGAGCGTAAGGAGAATAAAAGGTAGGGAACACGGGATATTAATTATTCCCGTATCATAGGAAAGTCTCAATGTTGATCTCCAGCGTGCTGACGGGATATTTCAAATCGAACTTCCCCAGCACCGTCGGGTGCAGAATACCAAAGGATCCAACGACATGATCCTTTCCGGAAATTCGGACGTGTACTGAGGCTGCATGGCCAGTGAAATATGTCGGATCTAAGATGAGCAAAATTTTTTGGAAAAAATTAGCAAAGTCCTCATCAGGTATTTCTTAAAAATGTTCATCCCCAACCATTTTCAGGTCGATGCTTTGGTGATGGGTGAACGAACCGTCCAACTCTTCAATCCAATACGACGCGTTCCCCATAGCCGGATTATCCAGCCCTTCTTCCCCAATAATAAAAGCAGTCTTCAGCATAGCCATAATCCTATCGAGCAACCCATGTACAATCTCGAACCCACTGGTCTTCCCATACCAGGCCGCCGCGAAATGTCTCTCGTTCGTACTCTTACGCTCACGCGAAACATCCTTGAATGCAACATCACTGACCTCAAAGATCTTCATAGGGATCGCATGATGTTTATTTTCTCCAATTGTCTTCAAAAGGCCCGGCAGCAGGCTCGTGCGGACAACCTGAAACTCTACTGTTTTGGGATTCGCCAGCTTGACAGCTGTATTCCCATCGTCCTTGCGGTTCAGCCAGGCGAAGTTCTCATCGTGCGAGCAGAGGATAAGGGGCATGACTTCAGACCAGCCGGCCATCGCGGCCTCTGTTCTGATGATGTCAGTGAGTTTATTTATGGGCAAGGGTCGCGCGATTGTGCCAGATATATTGGGGAAATATCGCGGGAGTTCATTGAAACCGTAGGCGATGGCAACGTCTTCCATGATATCTGCTTGATGGAGCACGTCTGCGCGGGTTACAGGAACCCGAACATCGACCAGATCCGGGGAAGTTTTGGATGGCTCAGCAAAATATGACATGCGCTTTAGGAGATTGCAAATATCTGCGGCGGATAAGGAGAGACCACAGCATTGGTTAATGTAGGATATACTAGCTTGGGTAGGACGAGGCCTTAGATCGGGGGTCTGGCGAGTTTCGTTGTTGTGCGATGATACTATTCTCACAGGCTCCACGGTGAAGGGCTCTGAGGTATATTGAGAGAACATAGTAACCATGATATTATTCACAATCTCAACTTTAGTCTTATCAGTTGCCGTATACTCGAGGAATACATTTTTGGTGTTTAATGTGATTTTCGAGTGGTCGCCATTGATAATTGGTGGCAGCGAACAGACTACACGGTTCGAGTCATAAATCACGGGATATACAGGAGAATCCCGGATAATGTGAAGATATTTCCCTATGTGTTTATCCTTCTATAGGAATATTTTAGTATTGTGGTGTCAATGGCAAGGAAATTCAGTGAAACATTACCTCATAGAACTCCATCATCTCCTGTCCATTCATCTTCCGTGTTTGATTTAAAGGGACGAAGCTGATATCCTTTGGAGGCAAAGCCTCATAAGTGAACGGCCCTTTGAGTTTATCCAAATCATGCGTTCCAATGGCAACCAATGTTCTTTGCCGGGCAAGGTTTTGGTGCAATTTGTCCTGAAGAGCAATAAAGGATTCATATCGAGCTTGGTCGAAATGGATATTCCGAAGGATGGCGCCCGAAATATAAGGGCGGATTTTCATCGTCTAAATTTAAAGCTTAGTAAATGCCAATGGTTACATATATGGGTGTTTATGCCTATTTCTCACCTCCTCTTTTACGACAATCGTTTCCAGTTCTCCATTTGAAGGTGCAACAAGGCGATACTCTGGCGACAGAGTTCGTTCACGGAAGATATTCAACATGAGAGCAATGCCCTCGATGCAGAGGAGATCATATCTAGAAATACCTTAGTTCAGATCATATTACATAGCATAGACGTATAGTAGTAGCCAACCGATTCGCGGGGACCTCAATCTTCAGTTGCGGAGGTTCTTGTTTTCCATTTACAAACGGTCTTTCCAAGTTTTCGGTCTGTGATTGTTCAGAATGCATATGCCAGGATGGGTCAGACAAGGGGTATATTACATCTTCGTCCAGTTCAAGGCCTATAGAGGAATACTGTCAGTCTGGGTATCCATAGTGGGAGGTTTGTGGTACAAAGGTGAGAGCACCCGCTAGGACGCATACCGAACTCAAAGCATAGTTGGTCGAACTCCTCTGTAGAATACCTGGCGCATTACAAAACAAGCAGATAAACAAATGAGGCATGTCCAGAGAAAGGTACAGAAGCCAATTGACTCACTTTCGCCCCAGTTCCTTGAAGAGGGCAGCTTTATCAACAGCAATGGTCGGCATGGTGGAGGCGCGGGCCTAATTTGCGACCAGGAAGTTCAAACGTTGCGCGCAGAGTTTTCTGAAACAGATAGATTGGTGCAGATTCAATACGGAGGATTCCCTCAACCAAGCTCAGGGTATTTAGCAGATTGTTGATTGTCGACATGAAATTAGCTGTGGTAAAAAGCACAAAGCTGTTTTTTCAGCCAAAAGTTGATCGCTTCATGGAGGGGAAAAAGACCGTGAGTCAGCAGCGGCATTCCTTGTTGCACCGCCACATCAAGCCGTCTATTGGGAAGCCCACCAGCCACATGCTGAAGAATCGACACGGATCAAAATACATCACAGATGCTATCCAACAAACAAAGACCAACTTTTGTCCGACCTTGTCACTTACCCTGTTCTTCCTGTAAAGCAGGTTTTGGCTTCCACTCTTGAGGATATCCAAGGTGCGTTTTGCGTTGATTGCGCTCATGCTGTTTGTTTGCCTGGCGGCTTTTTGCGTTGGCGGTTGATTGGCCTGTTTTCTTCCCTAGGCTCAACTCACCCCACGAGACATCCCAGACATCCATACCTTGTACCTCACCATGACATCTCTCCCCTCCATGCTGCTTCTTTGCCGCTCCAACTAAACCACTCGTATCTATATCCGTTGCTCTTAGGTCTATCTACGCCAAGGTCCACGCGTGTAATTCCCTTATCTGCATATCGGGTCCCTCTCTAGTTCTTCAACGACCTCCATAAGAATTCAATTGGCACGCCCCCCTCCGGCCGAACACACCTCCTAGAAAAACCTGTCGCGATATCGGCTCATTCTCCGCCTTCCTTCCTTCCCTTAATCAATATACACTCCTTTTCTAGCTATGGAAGGCCAGGGCGAAAATGATGAGCTCTACCCTGTCGCCGTTCTGATAGATGAACTGAAGGTATGCCCTCCCACTTCTCCTCTGCCTCCTCCATTCGCTGCGGCGATCAGTAAAATAGCATTCTTATACAAGATATAGCATGAGGATGTCCTCCTCCGTTTAAACGCCATCCATCGCCTATCCACGATTGCTCTGGCTCTTGGCCCGGAACGAACGCGGGACGAATTGATTCCTTTTCTTGATGGTTTGTCTCGTCCAGCTTTTGCCTTGGTTTGCGGATCCGCCGACGTATTGAATGCCGCAAAATGCTGACCCAGACTACTTTCTTTCTTCCATCCAGACTCTGTCGAAGATGAAGATGAAGTTCTGACTGCGCTTAGTGAGGAGATGGGTAATTTCGTCGACTATGTTGGTGGGCCGGAATATGCACATATTCTCCTATCTCCCCTAGAGAATTTGGCCGCAATTGAGGAACCCTTGGTGCGAGAAAAGGCAAGTTGCCTTTTAGCTCCCAAATGAAATGGAAACCTGGTATAGGTACAACCAGACGCGCCCCATCATCTACTGACAATATATCGATATTCAGGCGGTTGAATCCCTCAACAAAATTTGTGGCCAGCTTTCTGCCAAGCAAATCGAAGAATATTTCATACCCCTCACCGTGAGCCTCTCGAAGGCGGACTGGTTCACCTCCAAAATATCTGCCACAGGCCTCTACAGTGCTCCATATTCCAAAGCTTCCCCAGCTTCGCAGCAAGGTCTTCGACAGCAGTTTGGACATCTGGTCCACGATGATACTCCTATGGTTAGACGCCAGGCGGCAAATAACCTCGCTAAGTTTACCAAGGAGATGACCACGCAAGTAATCATAGAAGAAATAATCCCTCTCTTCCAATACCTTGCAAATGACGACCAGGATAGCGTGCGACTATTAACAGTGGATATCTTGATTTCAATCTGCGAAGAAATCCCAAAAGAACAGCAGTCAAGCCACGGTGTCCTTTTAACCGCGCTGCGAAGTTTATTTGAAGATAAAAGTTGGCGGGTTAGGTACATGGTTGCTGATAGATTTGAGAAGGTACAGTAGAATTAAGATTCGGGTTTATGAATTGTGATCATCACCATGTACATCAATACAAAGCTGACTGGCGACTACGTAGATCGCAAAAGCTGTTGATGACGAGGTGCTGAATCGGGATCTGGTTCCTGCTTTTGTGAAGTTGCTGAAGGATACTGAGGCAGAGGTCCGCACAGCAATCGCCGGACAGATTCCTGGTAGGAGATGAGTTGCGGCAGTGCGTGTGGATATGTTAATCTAACACGTTTATAGGTTTCTGCGAGCTGCTGGATAGAGACACCCTTTTGAATGAAATAATGACTAGCATTGAAGACCTCGTGTCTGATCCTTCCCAACATGTGCGCGCCGCGCTTGGTACACAAATCAGTGGGCTGGCGCCAATACTTGGCAAGGAGGAGTGAGTGATGTATGCTCTCTTCTCCTGATACGACAGATTACTAATCCAGCTCGTTACTTTAGAACTATTGCACACCTACTCCCTATGTTTTTACAAATGCTGAAAGATGAATTCCCCGATGTACGCCTCCACATTATATCCAAACTGGAATTGGTCAATAAAGGTATGTCCTACACAATTCAATAAAAGATATAATATCACTGTCATCACTTACATATCGTAAACAGTTATTGGTATCGAGCTTCTATCCCAATCCTTACTCCCTGCGATTGTACAGTTGGCGGAAGATAAGCAATGGCGTGTCCGTTTGGCCATCATCGAATATATCCCCCTTCTTGCAAGTCAGCTTGGCGTAAAGTTCTTTGACGAACAGCTCAGTGCACTTTGCATGGGCTGGCTTGGGGACGCCGTATTCTCCATTCGCGAGGCAGCCACTCAGAACCTGAAGAAACTGACCGAAGTGTTTGGCGTGGACTGGGCGAAAAACTCTATCATTCCAAAGGTCATATTGATGGGCCAACATCCAAACTACCTTTACAGAATGACAACTTGTTTTGCCATTTCCGTAAGTCGAACGCCAAACAAAACCTCAAATTTTTATTTTTAGTCTTTATTTTTCTTGATTCTGTATTGAGTTTAGTTGAGAAATTGTATCTCAACGAAACTAATTGCGCAATGATTAGACACTCGCCCCAGCCATCAACCTCAACATAATCGAGACCTCCATCCTCCCGATTCTGGAGAGACTTGTCGACGATGACATCCCGAACATCCGTTTCAACGTTGCGAAATCTTATGCTGTAATGATAGATACCCTCCAACGCCTTCCCGCAGAAGGCACGTTGGCCGAACTCGAGAAATCCGGCCAGACAAGCAGTACTCCGGGCCCGCGCAACCACGCCATCGTACAGCAACAGATTCTTCCAAATCTTGAGAAATTGCAGCAGGATGATGATGTCGACGTGCGATATTTCGCTACCACAGCTGCAAGCAGCTTTTCAGAAGCCATGCAAACATCCCCATGACTTTCTCCCAATGAATATGAAAAAAGAAAGATACATTTCAAACATCGCAACCTTCCACACCCACAGCACGGCCCTTCTTTGTTTTAATCAATGGCTGACTAAATACATTATTCTCATGCATGCTTGTGTTGCTGCCTCTTCCTCTCACATTCGCGCTGTGCTTTATGAATTCGTTGACTTAGAGAAGCCACTTTCCCTTTCCTTTTCTTTTCTATAATTGCTTGCGAGGAAGATACAGACCCAAACCCAGTAATCAACCTAGCTTTTCTCTCACATTATGTCTTACGAAATGGGAAAAAAAAGGGACGGAAGAAACCATGTGGAGAAGGCATGCCCAAGTACTTGGAAAAATTCCTTTTTACCTTCTTAATTCTTTCTCTTTAATGTCAGGTTAGAAAGTGGAAATGGAAATCACCATGTGCCCTTTGACCAGTAAGTAAACACGCAAGTATTGAAAACATTACGTTCATCTTTTTCTCCCTCTTTCCTCCTAACCCCTTTGTGTTGTTCATTTTCATCCTTCCTAAGTCATCGTATTTCCCACCCCCTCGCGCACCGCACACCTTTAATCCTATTCCCCTTTCTTTTAAAACCCCCAGATACTGAGTACCAAGGATCTCTCTTTCTATCTGTCTTTCATGGGCGTGTGACATCCTATTAAGTTGCAAAGCCATACGCATTGAAGGGAGGCAACACGGTAAAAGGGAGGAGAGGGAGAAATGATGAGGGCCCAAGGTGGACAAAAGAATCAAGCAGAACAAGATGTAAGACAGCAGAGAGCAGATAGACAAGACAAGAAAACAACATTTTCTTTTCATTCTCTCCTCGCTGAATGACAGTTGGCCGGTGTTAGGCAACAGAAGGGTTCCAGGCATCCAAATCACGTGTTCTGATATAAGAAGGTTCAATCTTCGCAGTTCAACCACGCAAATTCGATCGTATTACATGCAATCTTCTGTCTCATTTAGTTTCTCTACGTTTTGAGCTATATATATTCAGCAATCAAGAGTGTTACATTCCTTTACTATAATTTCTCGAAAAATCTAGAAAATCTGGCACATAAACGATTCCCTGGCGGCTCACCCCCTTTTTTTGATTCCTTAATGCACCGTCTGGACATTGTGAAGCACAGTTGCTCAGTGGCATGTTAAATATTAACTACCAACCTAGTATAAAAGTGGTGTCCTTACGGCCGTAACATTTGGATATACGTGCCATTAGCCACGGAGCTTGTTTTCAATTTCTACCTTTTTTTTCCCTGTCCAGCAAGACTTCTCCTCTCTGGATATATTGTCAAGCAATTGATGTTAAACCGTTTCCCTTCACCCTATTTTCCGTCTGTTTTACCATTTATTTAGCGCTTCCATTTGGCATTGTTTCTCGGCAAGGTGGCTTCGGCTTCACAACTTCGCGAACACCTTAAACAGCGAAAGCCATGTCTGCCTCGGGCACTTGGCTTTCACCACTATGGGACTACCGATATACGACTCCCACTCCCGAACATCTCCGTGAGCGGCGCGAGCTCCTCACGTTACGTGGTCAATATGCTCAGCTATCCACGCTGCTCCTGATTTTGTTGTTCAGCGCCTATAGATTGGGCGCACGACGGATCAGAAAGAGCAGCAGAGGCAAAGACCAAGAAGCCAAGTCATCCTCATTGCCATTATCAGTATGGCTAGATTCCCCACTCATGCGCGGTGGGGCCGAGACGAGGGGACAGTATCTCGTCGCGACGGTATGGATGGCGTGGTTGGTTGCGCTTTCGGCTTGGAGGACAGGTAATGGTATGGATACATATACATTCTCCTTATTTCCTTCACGCCGCTCCTCTATATATCTCCTGTATATACGAAATAGGTTTAAAACACCCCCGTACACATGCCAAGAAGGCACGCTTCCATGCTGACGAAACAACAAGACTACCCTCCCCGAAACTCTCCACAACAACCCACCCCCTTCAACCTCGTCTGCTCCCACCTCCTCCACCTGCCTCTGACCCATTTAACCCCCTACCATCGCCTCTTCGGCCGGCTGGTCATTCCCACGCTCATCTCCCTACACTCAGCGCTGTATCTCATGTTCTTCGTGGAAAATGGGGTGCTGGAGAAGAGGCTCAATGATCCGGATGTGCAAATTGGGATTATGGGGGCTTGGATTTTGGTCCTGTTATGGGGAACGAGTGGGTGGGTAGTGGGGTGGGTGAGGGGCCAGGGGAATCCGACGTCAAGATCATCAGGGTCGGGGTCGAAATTGAAGCGGATGGCATATGTTGTGCATGTTGCGTTGGTTATTGTTCTTCTGGGAGCAGTGTATTTTCATGTATGCGAGGAAATTCGTGGTGCAGGCTCTGATGATTTATGGGGTTGATGTCGGGAGTTGGGTGATTAAGCGCTTATTTAGGTCAGGGGTTAGAGTATGATCGAAAGGCCAGGTTAGTGTCCAAACTTTTTAGGTCTGTTGTTCCGATGTACTCGGATAGAATAGTCTGTCACGGTTTGTAGGGTTGTGAGGCTAGGGTTTTCGTTTTAGGAGCGGTTGGATTAGAGTGAAAAAGGATCCTATTACAGAGAAGATATTAACTGATATTCGCGGAAGGATGAGATGTGTATTGTGCTTGTATATACAATGATGAACAAATCGCTATATTGATAGGCATAGGGGATAGTAGATACGACGGTGATAAATAACAGATGAAACATGTATTGTACACACACTGTCACAATATGGTGCTGGAAGAAAGAAAATACACAAAGAAAAGATAAATGTGATACGAGACCAGGAATTTTGAACAATGCAACTTTGGCAGACCAGCTTCGCTTGCAGATGAGAAATTGTAGATTGATATCATGTAATAAAATAGTTTGAGCAAGGTAGGGAATATCAGTCAGCGTACAAAAAGTGGAAAGATGGTGCCAAGTAAGAACAATTTATGACGGAGCAAGCAAAGAAAAAATCGAAATTTTCGAGATAAAAATAATGATCATAAGCAATAATATAACAAGACCAGAGTAGAACAATTTAGATGACTTTGCTGTGTACGACACCTACAGCCAGGGTAAAAAAGCCAGACGGAATCAGGTGCTGGCCATCGCAGAATAAATGAATATTAAACAGCAGAAATCTTGCATTCCATCATCCGTAGTGGATACAACCCCTTCCATAAAACGGATGGTTTATAGCAGTTGGAAGAGGATGCAAAGTGTGCACGTACTGTATATGTGCAAAGTAAGTTGCACCAATGACGGAACCGTAAGGACATGCCCGTACATTGGCAGCGGAAAGCCACACATCCATTCCAGTCATCCCCTCCTTTCCACAGTATCTCCTTCTCCTGGCATTCTACGACTCGGAATAGCTCGCGCCTCAAACTCGAGAGGCCCACCACGTGTTTCATCAAGTAACGCAGACTGGCGCCTGTTGGAGCTTCCTCGAGGCGCTCCACCGGGGTTCTGTAAGTCTCCAGTATAAGTAGGTCAACCCAAGGAGTGCACGAACGCATCGATCGTGAAACGCACCCAGTTCTCCTGCGATGGAATACCAGCGGCAGAGGCAAGCTATCATCATCTCTTCTCCTTTTCCTCCTTCGATCTTGGAATACGACTTGCCCATGTATTTCGATCGCTGGACAGGCGCAGGTGTAACAGTAAGACTGGGTCGCTCTATTTCCGTGGGGAAATCTGTGAGCCTTAAGCTGGGCCTTCGACCTTCATGTTCTGTTCCGAAACCGTCTCCGGTGGTGCTGGTTACCCCACCTTGTAAGACCTGGACTTGCCCCCTCCGCGGCCTCTGAATGGAACGCATGTATCCCACAATTTCGGGAATTTCGTCCCACGCGTTTGAGTGAACGTAGTTCAGCCACGGATCCATGGAAGGCGGTGGGCCAGCTGACGGTGATGGTGCAGAGTCAGGTAAACCCTCTATTCCATCTTTCCCTTTGGCTAATAATTTTGAATGTGAATCTGATGCTATACCGAGTTCTATAGATTCGTCCAAGAAAACGCGGGTGGGTTTTGGGGCGTAAGTTTCCCATGGGAATATGGGGGCTAATGTTTTTGTCTTTTGCTGCCTAGGGGGTACTTGGTAGTACATATTTTTAGGAACCTCCGGGTATGACTTTGGTGGTTGGAAAAGTTGAATATCCTGTGACATAGCGTATGTATGTGAAGGTAAACTGAATGCCTCGGGTTTAGAATCCGTGGGGGGAGGTGCCCTATTGTTGTTTGTCAGTATCTGTATGATTGCATGAGTATTTTCCGCCGTATCTCATTAGATTTGGAGATGCATACCGGGAAGGGTCCCATTCAGCCTTTGGCGGTGAGAATGATGTCTCTGGTGCCGCCTTAGGTGACTCAGGCTCCTCGGAATAAGCTGTGATATGTCCAAGTTCTGGTTGTTTAGTCGATTCAGTGGGCCCCTGTGGCAACTGTTGAAGTGCAGGTACGTCTGCCATGCCAGTAATAGGAAGGCTTTTAGGAATTGATATTTCCTTCGAATCGGAAACGATATCAAGGAGAGGAGCAGTATGTCGGTAGACCGACACGTGTTCTTCACCATGGACGTATTGTGGGACAGCGCTGATAGCAAACTCATGGCTCTTTTCAGGGGCTTTAGGTTGGGGGATAAAACTCGTTGGTCTGGCTATAATCGCACTATTTTCATCAGAAGCTGCAGAATTGTCAATTTCTAGTACATGTGGAATTTTGGGCGAGAGCGCGCGCCCAACGTCATGCGGTTCGTCGCCTTGCTGGATGGCTTTATCAGCTTTAGCATGAACTCCAACTTCAGCTCCAACTTCAGCGGGAGTAAAAGCCGAAGAACCAAGTGGGTGGACATGTGTTTGTGGTCGAACTTGTTCATAGGGCGTCTCGGGGGGATGTATGGTTTCCAACGATTCAGCCGACTGACCCCATTCACGCCCACCTGGGGCTCCGGGAATCTGTTCTGCATGAGCTTCAGGTATTCGACAAGTAGGCTTCTACCCCATCACGTCAGCTCTCACGACTTAATCAGCAATCTCTTCATCAGGTCCCCCGACCCCCATGCATTGAAAGACACAGTTCATACATACCACTGGTCTATAATGTCTATCGTAAGTGGCCCACCACCTCCCCAGAAGTTGATTATACGGGCTCTCCAGTGGGAAGGCTTGTCGCGGTAAATTCCACGGCTTCTGCATGCCAATATAATGTACTAGACTAATATTGCTGCCAAAATGGCGGAATGCTGGAACATACTGATAATGTCCACTCGGAGTACAGTTGTAACATGAAGCGGCAATCTGTCCCATTTCTTAAAATGTATATTCAGCAGGCCC